AGACTAAAGGAGCACTCAAAGATGTTAAAGCCATTGTGGAGAAACTAAATGAATTATTTGTGTCTGTCTTCAAAGCTGAGGATGTTAGGGAGATTCCCAAATCTGAGCCATCCTTTGTAGGTAACAAATCGGAGGAACTGTCTCAGACTGAAATGTCATTAGAGGAGGTTTTGGAACAAACTGATAAACTTAACAGTAACAAGTCACCGGGACAGGATGGCATTTACCCAAGAGTTCTGAAAGAACTCAAATGGGGAATTACAGAACTATTAACTGATTTGTAACCTACACTTGAAATCAGCTTCTGTGCCCAATGACTGGAAGACAGCTAACGTAACACCAATATTTAAAAAGGGCTCTTGAGGCGATGCCAACAACTACAGACCGGTAAGTCGAACATCAGTGCAGTGAAAATTAGTAGAAGCAATAGTAAAGAATAAAACTGTCAGACACATACATGAACATAATTTGCTGGGGGAAAGTGAACATGGTTTCTGCAAAGTGATATCATGTCTTACTAATCTCCTAGAGTTCTTTCAAGGGGATGAACAAACATGTGGACAAGGGGGATCCAGAAGGCTTAGTATATTTAGATTTCCAGAAAGCCTTTCACAAGGTCTCCCACCAAAGGCTCTTGTATAAATTAGGCTGTCATGGGGTAAGAGGGAAGATACTTTCATGAACTGAGAAATCATTAAAAGAAAGGAAACAAAGGGTAGGAATAAACAGCAAATTTTCAGAATGGGGTTGGGTAACTAGTGGGGTACCCCAAGAGTCAGTCCTAGCACCAATCCTATTCAACTTATTCATAAATGATCTGGAGAAAGGGGTAAACAGCGAAGTGGCAAAGCTTGCAGATGATATTAAACTATTCAAGATTGTTAAGAGCAAAGCAGACTATGAAGAACCTCAAAAAGATCTCACCAAACTAAGTGATGGGAAAACAAAATGGCAAATGAAATTTAGTGGGGATAAGTATAAAGTCATTGAACCATAGAATCATAGAACCATAGAGCTGGAAGAGACCTCAGAAGGTCATCAAGTCCAGACCCCTGCTCTAGGCAGGAACAATCCCAACTAAATCAATCCGTCCAGGGCTTTGTCAAGCCGAGGGATGGAGACTCCACTACTTCCCTAGGGAACCCATTCCAGTGCGTTACCACCCTCCTAGGGAAATAGTTTTTCCTAATATCCAACCTGGACCTCTCCCGCCACAACTTCAGACCATTGCTCCTTTTTCTGCCCTCTGTCACTACTGAGAACAGCCTCTCTCCATCCTCCTTGGAACCCCCCTTCAGGAAGTTGAAGGCTGCTCTCAAATCCCTCCTTACTCTTCGCTTCTGCAGACTAAACAGATCCAACTCCCATAGCCTCTCCTCATAGGTCATATGCTCCAGCCTCCTAATCATTTTGGTTGCCCTCCGCTGGACCCTCTCCAATGCGTCCACATCCTTTTTTAGTGGAGGGCCCAGAACTGGACACAATACTCCAGATGTGGCCTCACCAGAGCCGAATAAAGGAGAATAATGACATCTCTGGATCTGCTGGCAATGCTCCTCTTAAAGCAACCTAATATGCCATTAGCCTTCTTGGCTACAAGGGCACACTGTTGACTCCTATCCAGCTTCTCATCCACTGTAACCCCCAGGTCCTTTTCTGCAGAACTGCTACTTAGCTGGTTGTTCCCCATCCTGTAACAATGCTTGGGATTTTTCCATCCCAAGTTCAGGACTCTTCACTCGTCCTTGTTGAACCTAATCAGATTTCTTGTGGCCCAATCCTCCAATTTGTCTAAATCACTCTGGACCCTCTCCCTGCCCTCAAGCGTATCTACCTCTCCCCCTAGCTTAGTGTCATCTGCAAACTTGTTGAGGGTGCAATCCATCCCCTCATCCAGGACATTAATAAGGTAATGCATATTGGAAAAAAACAACCCCAACAATATGATGAGGGGTAATTTTGCTACCACTAATCGGGAATGAGATCTTGGAGTCATTGTGGAGAGTTCTCTAAAAACATCCACTAAATGTGCAGAGGCAGATAAAAACACAAATAGGATGTTAGGAATCATAAAAAGGGATAGAAAATAAGACAGAGAATATCTTATTGCCTTTATATAAAACCATAGTACGCCCACACCTTGAATACTGTGTACGGATGTGGCCTCCTCTTCTCAAAAATAGATATACTGTCATTAGAAAAGGTTCTGAAAAAGCTAACTAAAATGATGAGGTGTTTGGAACGGGTCCCATATGAGGAGAGATTAAAGAGACTAGGACATTTCAGCTTGAAAAGCAGGAGACTAATGGGGGGATATGACAGAGTTTTGTAAAATCATGGATGGTGGAGAAAGTGAATACGTTTTTTACTTATTCCCACAATATAAGAACTAGAGGACACCATATGAAATTAATGGGCAGCAAATAAAAGGAAGTTCTCCTTCACACAGCGCACAATCAACCTGTGGAATTCCTTGCCAGTGGGGATTGTGAAGGCTAGCGCTATAATAGAATTTTGAAAAGAGCTGGATAGATTCATGGAGGTGGCATTGGCCACTGTCGGCAGACAGGATACTGGGCTAGATGGACCTTTGTTCTAACCCATTATGGCCATTCTTTTGTTCTTATGAATGGGCCTAGCTCAAGAAATTCCCCAGACCAATCATTATAGTTGTCTGGACTGCTCCTAGGAATCCCTCTCCTGAGATTTCATATTTGCTTCCAGGACTGATGTAAATATTAAATAATATCAGGCCTCATCACGATCCCACAGAACTCCCCTCCCAATGGCCCTTCGACAACGATTATTTTCAGATCTGTCAATTAGACACTTTTTAGCCCATGTAATGTGCGCCCACTGATAATATATCGTTTTGATAGTTTTATCTGAGTGTGTTTCCTACTAAATCAAGTTAGGGACGTTAAAGTCTGTTGCACCTGCCTGGTTCCCTTGATCATCAAAATTTGTCCTTTCTTTAAGGATGAAATCAGGATTATATGACATTATGATTTTCCATCCGGTTTGATCTTAATTCACATGTCAGCTTTTCCATTATTTTCTTGCCTTGTCAAATATTTTTTTAAATTAATATATATATATATATAACATTTGTGGCAGGATTACTGACTTCTGGATCAAAATGAGATGTCTCATTGATTGGTCCATGTATAATTCTGGTGTTATTAACTTTAATGTTTAGCTGTTAATATTGTTTTACAACCTTGTTGGATGCTGATAGACTATCATGCATTTCACCTCCTCATTTGATACAAGGATGTAATATTTCTGCATTCCAAATTAGAACACAACTATTTCTTCAACATATCGACCTTTTCTGCAATATTCACAAGTTTTCTTTCTGTCTCTAGGAAAAGGTTAAACCTTTCCTAGGATTTCATTAATTCTTAATATGCCAAATTAACCTCCTTTTTCTGATCCTTAGCTCTGAAACTCATCGATAAGTCTGTGATAGTTATATCATCACTCATTCATTTTCATCTATTCCAATTGGCATTATTTCTCTTTTTTTCCTTTCCCCTCTTTGTTATATATTGGTCCCTCCATCTCAGTTTCTTCCTTCCATTTTTCATTCAGCTGTGTTTTGACAAAAAGTTTTTCACCAGCAATGATCCTGGCATTGTGGCTATCTCATGGACTCTTACGGAAATCACAGTTATCTTTCCTGGGTTTTTTTTTCTAATTTGTTTTCTCCCAATCAATTCGGTTGATAATTTCCATCAGCAGTGGGAAAACCAATTGAGGGACTTAATGTCCATAGATATAAGAAGTTGGGAATTTTCCCTCTTTTCTTCATGTTAGTGCAATGATATTATTTATCATCCTCTCCTCTATTGTATTCCCCTGGTTTGTCTCCTCCCTAAACTAAACTGTCCCTGATACTTCAGGGGGGAGCCGACTTAGTCTGTACAGGATAATCTTAAAAAATAACAAATGGTCTGGTAGGACTTCGTAGACTAACAAAACATGTAGATGGTATCGTGAGCTTCCGTGGGCACAACCCACGTCTTCAGATGACGGGAGTTTTGAGTTTAGGATGTGCAGAGCCAAAATAAATAGAGGAGAAGGAAGAGGGGGGAAGGAAAAAAAGGAATGGGGTGGGAAACAAGGACCAGAGGGTATGAAACTATTAAAGGGAAAAACAAGTAGGCAGAACTGGTAATCTATAAGCACCTGAAGACTGGATAGTTACAAAGAAGCAGATAAGGATCAAAGGATATCAATTGGATAGGATTGAATTGTTCAGTCTGTCCAGAGAAGTCAGCCTCCGCTTTTCTCACAGCCTCTCTCACAAGCCTCCTTTACATCAGCTGTGTCCTTTGCAGAGACTCGGGGATGAAAACTGAGCACATGTTCTGAGCAAGTTCTTCTTCATCCCAGTTCTTTGGCATCCCACAACTGTCCTGGTTAGGTCCTGGATGTGACTGAGCTGGGTTTCTGTGCAGTCAGTAGATGTCACAAGCTTTTCACTAAATTGGGATGGGTTTGGGTTTGGATTTTTCCTACTCTCATATTTTCATCAACCTGGCGAATGAGGGACTCTTTACAGCACGGAATATCTAGCCTAACGTTCCAGGCATTAAGAACCAAAGGTGGGTAACAAAGGCCCCAACACCCCCTTTCCAATTGGTGCCTATTAAGGTTTCCAAGGTGATGACACATTTTGAGCACGAAGTTCTATTAAATATGGAATTCACATTAGAAAATCCAGCTGTGCATCAATCATTTATCTGAACAGTGAAACTGTCACATTTCAGTGAGTGAGGAAACAAATCTCATACAACCATGACACCAGCTGTGTTGTCTGATATGAACATTGTCTCTCCTTTCAGGATTTCTCCTACAACCCTCATCCTAGGCCAAGAGCAACAGGAAGTCTGGAGCACGAACAGTGCACACAGGAAGTATTGCTCTACCTCACAGTTTAACCCCTCACAGTTTAAACTCACAGTTTAACCGTCTGGAGAACGAACAGTGCACACATGTCAGATTTCAACACAACCAAGGTCACCAACCCCTCCACCTTCATCCTGCAGGGCATTCCGGGCTTGGAGACAGCTGATGTCTGGATCGCCATCCCCTTCTGTACCATGTACATTGTAACCCTCTTGGGGAACTTCACCAACCTGTTCATTGTGAAGACGGAGTCAAAGCTCCATGAGCCCATGTACTATTTTCTCTGCATGCTCTCCGTCACCGACCTGGGTCTGTCCACATCCATCATTCCCAAAGCACTGAGCATCTTCTGGGTCAATGCCAGAGAGATAGATTTCAATGCCTGCCTCACCCAGATATTTTTCATTCACTGCTTCATAACAATCGAGTCTGGGATCCTTGTGGCCATGGCTGTGGATCGCTACGTGGCCATCTGCCATCCCCTGAGACATTCCACCATCTTAACAAGCGTTACAGTAACCAAAATTGCCCTGGTCGTGGTGCTGCGTGGTGTCTTGATCATATTGCCCTATGTCCTCCTGGCAAGGCAGTGGTCATATTGCAGAACTAACATAGTATCCCAGCCGTACTGTGCACACATGCCAGTGGTGGGACTAGCATGTGGTGACACCCGAGCCAGTAGTCACTACGGCTTATTTGTGCTATTTTGTCTGAGGGGTCTGGATGTGTTTTTTATTGTTGTGTCCTATATTCAGATCCTCAGGGCCATCTTCAGCCTCCCCACAAAGGACGCCCGGACGCTGCTACAGACTGACAAGGATACAGCTCTGGAGCCAGCAGCACATACAAGAGTGGGGGGTCAAATCATGTAAATTTGGATTCAAATGGTGTGGAAGAGGTGCTGGCTACATCCATGATCATTGCAATTGGCAAAACAGAGATTGTTGCTTTGTGCATCTTGTTCGCTGATCCATGTGAACGCTAATGTAGTTTAACCTGAGTGTAATTTTCATAGTGGTTTGCAGCCTTTCAGTGCATTTTCATTATCAATACTCATCTGCACTCAGACATTCCAGCACTGATCTAGGTTCCCTTGCTGCCCTCTCATCTTTGAATTTGAACTTTTCACTCATCTCTGCATCACTGGGGTTGAGGAACTGTTGTTTTATTTTTCAGATATTCTGTTTTGAACCACAATTCCATTTCTGGTTTTTCACAACTATGCTACTTTCCGGACTGATACCTGATACATTTTTGAAAAAAGCACTAGATTCTGCTTCAGTCCATACTTGTCTCCTGACAATAATTAGTAATAAATCCATCAGAGATCAATTTGCTGTATTGTGACAAAACCATGCACTGGGCCTAGTCCCCTAACTGTTGGTGACTCCCAGCCGAGTAGTGAGCTGGCGTGGCCTCCCACTTATGCAGAGGGGGAAGGACAGGCTCAAATCCACAACACTTGGTGAAGAACGTGGGCAGTGTACCAACCCTTATAATAACGGGTCCTGTACACACAGCACAGAAAGTGTGCCTAGTTGAAGATATGGAGGTTTGGTCCAAGCAGGCCAACCTCCAGGGAAGTTGTGAAGCCACTCCTAGTTTTCCAAGATAAGACTTCTTGATGACAGTAAAGCCTTTTATTAATCTTTCAAGTGGGGCACAGCAGTAGATGGGGTGGGGGACTGTATCACTCAGCAACACTCTTGATCCCCTACCTTATGGGAGCCCACCATATGGTCTATGCATGGCTCCAAATTGTAGTAAGAGGAGGGCCTGAAACATTAGCCCATGTATCACAAGACTGCTCACGGACCTGAGGCTTCAACAGCAATTTTCAGACTGTGTTAGTATAAAGCAGCCATGGCCAACCCGCGTCTCACAAGCCGCATGTGACTCTTGCCACACAAAAGTGCAGTTCACGAAGCCACTCCTGCACCCCCAATGTCCCACACCCTGCGCCAGCTCACCCCTGCCCAGCGCTTCCCTGTGCTTACCAGGTCAGAGGTGCGGGTTTTAAAAATGGCACCCAAGATGGTGGCCTTCTTAAAGGGGCAGCTTCCTTTAAATTGTTTTTAATTGTTTTTGGTTTTGCTTGGCAATTCTGTTCGGGGGGCACTTTTTTTTCTGCTTCACAATTCTGATGCGGCTCTTCACATTTTTTCCGCCGTTTTGTCTCTCTTTGTTACATAGGTTGGCCACCCATGATATAAAGCGAAGTGAAGCTGTAAGCAAGAGGCAGGTCCCCACTGTAGACAGACATGAACACCACCTTGTCCCCCTCCCCCTTCCAGAGAGCAAGAGAAAGGCAGTCAGCCTTTGATGCCCTGGGAATGCAGGTGTGCTGCCTGTCACTGACTATACCATAAACAGAAACTAGACAGTAAATGGGCCAGATGACGACCCGGGGTCTCCCACCGCCCTGGTGGCTAATACCAGTAACTGATATGCCTGCACTGTCCCAGGAGAGGAATCTTCGCCCATCACATACCAGAGGTGCCCATTGTCTGCATTTTCCCAGGTGTGAATTATGCTCTGCACCCTCCGTGGGCAACTTGGAGTCCAAAGCCATTTTTCCTAATTGGCCACTTGAGTCAAGGAAGAAGCCTACCTGACCCAAGGGGTATAAGGAGGGGTTTAGTAGCCTACCCCATTTGAGCTCCAATCATCTACACCTGCTGGCAGGTATTGATTGACTCCCAAGGTCCGTGGGATGCCCAACCTCGCCCTACTTCTTCCCAAGGGATTGAGAGAAAGATGCTGGCCATGCCAAGTCTGGAACGCAGAGGTGAGAATATATACCTGCTAGGTGTCTATTTTGCATGCATTTAATAAGAGCTCAGAGAACCAAAGGGTTTCATGGTACCTGTAAGTGACTTATTAGTGTAATTTCTGTCCTGTCCTTTGTAGTGTCTGTGTTATCTGTAACACAGTAGTAGCATTTAACAGGTAAGTTTACCCTGTAACAATAAAATAGTAACTGTTTAAGCTTTAACCTGACTGGAAAGCTATCAGCCTCCCCAGGCTGCCCGCTGCAAAGGGATCGTGTATGCTAGCAGTCAAAATCTGAGGTGTAATAAGCTCTCCCTGTAAACTTTTTGGGGCGTCCGTCAGTCTCACCTAGACTGCCCTCTACGACGGGGTCTTGTGTCTCAGCAGTTGAAGACTTGGGTGTAACACACACACATGCACTGCCCTGACCATCGGCTGACACCCGCTCACAAAAATGGGCAAGAACATGGCTGGTATTATAGAAACACTTAGACATAAGAGGCACTAGGCCCAGGCTGTGACCCCATCCTGGGGGGGGGGGGGTCTTAACAGAACACCTTTCTAAGAAACATCTTGGTACTAACAACCCCAACACATATATATACAAACACAGAAAACAAGAACACACAGACAGGGTCTAAACCAATGGCAGGTTAGATAGTAGTTGAAACCCCATGTACAAGGGAATGGGTAGATCTAGGTAAACTCAGAGGATGCCAGCTCAATACGTCAGGAGGGATGGGTAACTTGTTGATGCCTGTGTATAAAAGTATATTCCAAAGAGTTGTCTTTGTCAAGCCAAGGGGGCAATGTTACATTCCTGGCCCTTTCTGAGCTAAGTCCGTTTTCTGGGGGGTAAATATACATAGTAGTTCAATAGAATCCACTGACAATTATTATTCTTCTTTATTTGAAAATAAATCTGGCAGAGCTCCTTCATTCCTTCACTAGTTTTGTGGTCTTCGGGGGCTCTCTCAGAGTCTGCTGTATTGGCTATTTGTGCAAGCCAAGAGGACACGCAGAGGACGACACACACACACAGACAAATGGTTATCATCATTGACGGAGCAGGAGACCTGTCGGGACACCACACCAGCGAATCCTAATTAATTTAACTGCACCAATCGCCAAAGCATGAGATTACAGGGTCTGAAAGGCAGCCATTTTAGATACTTTAAACACCAGCCTGGAAAACTTCTGCCGGCAATTTCAGGTAAAAGCAACATACCCAGGAAGGGCTTCAGGTCACCACCCTGGATATCAAAGACCTCATCTGGAACAGCTGCATCCCAAGCAATACTAGGACTACAAGGCTGCTGAACAAATCTCTTCAGAACAGTTCCTCCATCTTTCCCCATTTTGGGGAAGAGCTTGGGTATTGCAGCAGCAACCAATTCTGCTTAGTGATTATCTCTGAATATCTTTGGCCATTATCTTTGAAAAGTCGTGGAGATCAGGGGTGATCCCGGATGACTGGAAAAAGGCAAATGTAGTGCACATCTTCAAAAAAGGGAAGAAGGATGATCCAGGGAACTATAGGTCGCTCAGTCTTACCTCGGTTCCTGGAAAAATCATGGAAGGGATCATTAAATAATCCATTTTTGAGGCACTTGGAAGAGAGGAAAGTGATTAGGAATAGTCAGCATGGATTCACAAATGGCACGTTGTGCCTGACCAATCTGATTAGCTCCTATGATGAGGTAACTGACTCAGTGGACATGGAAAATTCGGTGGACGTGATATACTTTGACTTTAGCAAGGCTTTTCATACGGTGTCCCACAATATTCTTCCCAGGAAGTTAAGGAAATGTGGATTGGATAAATGGATGGTAAGATGGACAGAAAGCTGGCTAGAAGGCCGGGCTCAGCAGGTAGATGTCAAAATGGTGGTCGGTTACTAGCAGAGTGCTCCATGGTTCGGTTCTAGGATCAGTTTTGTTCAATATCTGTATTAATGACCTGGATGAGGGGATGGATTTCACCCTCAGCAAGTTTTCAGATCACACTAAGCTAGAGGGAGAGGTAGATACAGTTGAGGGCAGAGATAGGGTCCAGAGTGACATAGACAAATTGACGTAGACAAGAAATCTGATGAGGTTCAACAAGGACAAGTGCAGAGTCCTGTTATTGAGAGGGAAGAATCCTAAGCATTGTTACAGACTGGGGAGCAACCAGCCAAGTAGTAGTTCTGCAGAAAAGGACCTGGGGGTTACAGTGGATGAGAATCTGGATATGAGTCAAAAGTGTGCCCTTGTAGCCAAGAATGCTAATGGCATATTAGGTTGCATTAAGAGGAGCATTGCCAGCAGATCCAGATGTGTTATTACTCCCCTTTATTCGTCTCTGGTGAGGCCTCACCTGGAGTATTGTGTCCAGTTCTGGGTCCCACACTACAAAAAGGATATGGACGCATTGGAGAGGGTCGTAGACAAGAAATCTGATGAGGTTCAACAAGGACAAGTGCAGAGTCCTGTTATTGAGAGGGAAGAATCCTAAGCATTGTTACAGACTGGGGAGCAACCAGCCAAGTAGTAGTTCTGCAGAAAAGGACCTGGGGGTTACAGTGGATGAGAATCTGGATATGAGTCAAAAGTGTGCCCTTGTAGCCAAGAATGCTAATGGCATATTAGGTTGCATTAAGAGGAGCATTGCCAGCAGATCCAGATGTGTTATTACTCCCCTTTATTCGTCTCTGGTGAGGCCTCACCTGGAGTATTGTGTCCAGTTCTGGGTCCCACACTACAAAAAGGATATGGACGCATTGGAGAGGGTCTAGCAGAGGGCAACCAAAATGATTAGGTGGTGGAACCTATGACCTATGACAGAAGCTGAGAGTGTTGGGTTTGTTTAGTCTGCAGAAGAGAAGAGTGAGGGGGAATTTGATAGCAGCCTTCAACTTCCTGAAGGGAGGTTCAAAGAGGATGGAGAGAGGCTGTTCTCAGTAGTGACAGATGGCAGAACAAAGAGCAATGGTCTCAAGTTGTGGTGGGAGAGGTCTAGGTCGGATATTAGGAAAAACTATTTCCCTAGGAGGGTGGTGACGCACTGGAATGGGTTATCTAGGGAAGTAATGGAGTCTCCATCCCTAGACGTGTTTAAG